GAAGGAAGGAAGGAAGGAAGGAAGAAGGAAGGCAGGAAAAAGAAGTAATTTTTGTGATCAGGAAACATATTTTATTTTGATTTGATTTGATAACTGAAGAATCTTAGAGGCAAGGTGAGGATGTAGTGGAGACTGATTTCAGTCCAGTTTAGATGGTTTATTCAACTCAACTGAGATCAAACTAGGTTGGGCTATTCCACTGACTCCCTCTGAAGTATGGAATGTTGACTCAATCTGATCTTCTGCTTCAATTAAAACTCTAATCAATGCTTCTGAAGTGCTCAATCCCTGGGGGGGGGGCACCCACTGCACTTTGACTATTTAATTCAAAAGGTTTCTCTCTCTCTCTCTCTCTTTCTCTCTCTCTCTCCCTGTCCCTCTCTCTCTCCTTCCCTTCCTCTCTTCCTCTCCCTCCCTCCCTGTCCCTCCCTCACTGCCTCTCTCTCTCTCTCTCCCTCCCTCCCTCCCTCTCTCTCTCCTTCCCTCTCTCCCTCTCCTTCCTTCCCTCCCTCCCTCTCTCCCTTCCTCTCTCTCTCTCTCTCTCTCTCTCTCTCTCTCTCTCTCTCTCTCTCTCTCTCTCTCTCTTCCCCTCCTTCTCTCCCTCCCTCTTTTCCTCCCTCCCTCCCTCTTAGACCCACAAGCTCCCTGTCAACTAAATTGAAATCAGATCAACAATTGCCCATCCATCAAGCTTCACGTAGCCAAAAATTTACCATAGTGGAATGACAGATCAGTTGTGGACCACCCCCCCCTCTTTCTTTCCGTCTAAGGAAGTTTGTCTGTCGACAATTATGGGACAATTACGCCTTCCAGTTAGCAGGAGGAGAAGAAGAGGGGGGAACCCCTCTAAGGAAATGCACACTTAATCAGGAAACGAAGCATAGCTCCTAGAAAACCACAGCACCGTGTGTGTGTGTGTGTGTGTGTGTGTGTGTGTGTGTGTGTAAAAAAGGAAGGGAAGGGAAGGGAAGGAAAGCATAAGTTGCCTTAACAAGTGTATGTGTGTGTCTGTGTGTCTTGCAAATCAGTTCTTCCAATGAAAGACACGAGGCTTCCTTTCTGAACAGGTGTGCCACACACACACGTAGTCCTCAACTTACGACAACTGAGTCCCAAATTTCTGTCGCTAAGCGAAACTGCTAAGCGAATTTTGCCCCGTTTTATGATATTTCTTGCCAGAGTTGTTAAAGTGAATCGCTACAGTTGTTAGGTTAGTGATACGGTCCCTTCCAACTTGGTTATTCTGTCCATTCTGTAAAAACGCAAACATCTCACCTGGGCCTGGGTGGGAAAAAAAGAGATAGAAACTCTTCACATCTCCCGTAACCTTGTTTATTCCCAAATATCGGTCACTGCAAGCCTAGCCAGGCTTCCCACAAGGGCCCCAAAGCTGGCCCTTGCTAGGAAACACAGTAGAAGCATCACCCACACCCAGGAATAAGTATCCGGAGCAGGGGCCTTCAAACCTGGCTGAGGAATTCTGGAAGTTGAAGTCCACAAGTCGTAATAGGGCCGAGTTTGAAGACCCCTGCTTGTGGACTTCAACTCCCAGAATTCCTCAGCCAGCGTGCCTGGCTGAGGAATTCTGGGAGTTGAAGTCCACAAGTCACAAAAGGGCCAAGTTTGAAGACCCCCCCCATTTAGAGAAAACCTCATAGCACCTTAACTTGTTTTCCTCTAGATGGTGCAATCTGATAAGAGTTTGGTTTACAAAAGCCTCGCCAAGCCCTTGTTTCATGCAGGAGTGCTTCCATCCCAGCCAAGGAGAAGGACTCCTTTATAACACCAACACAACTTTTGAAAACGACAAAAAAAAACCAAAAAAACCCCCAAGAGAATTGAGATCAAACAAAACAAGAGAATCGACGTTGCTATGGTTGCTCGTAATAAAGCTCCATTCCTCTCTCTCAAGAAAATACTGGAAAATTTATTCTATCCTTGGAGGAGGAAAAAAAAGGGTGGGGAGGTTAGCCTTACAGACAGTCAGTCATGGCCTGGACAACTCCTGGCTTGACTACCGCAATGCGCTTTCCATGGGGCTGCCCTTGGAAGCAATCCGGAAAATTCAACCGGGTCCAGAATGCAGCAATGCTTTTCTTCTTCTTTTCATTATAAATATATATATATATATTTCAATTCTTCTGCTGGAGCCTCAGGCCCTTAACCGTCAGCGTTGCAAACAGAGGGACGGAAGCTGCCCTTTCTCAACCCATCCCAGGCTAAGACTGCAGCTGGTTAGGTCCCCGCTGGAAAATTTGGAGGGGCTGCAAGGTAGGGGCATTTGAAGACACATCTGGAAACATCCTCAGAGGGAGGAACTCAGCCTACGTTCCCGTCTCCTTCTCCCTCTCTTGCACCAGAAGGCAGTCTGCCACAGGCGGGCCCGAAACATCACCATCGGAAATGGGAAGTTGCTTTTAAAAAAATGTATCAGCAGAGGACTCGAGGGCTGCCGGCCCTCATTCACAATTCACCAGCGCTTATGCAGAAAGAAGATTTGATGCAGGGAGGGGCTGTTCGTTTGTTTGCATACCAGGTCCGTGCATTTTGAGCCCCTTTTTTCATTCTCCATGAATATGGGGTGATCTCAAGTGAATGTGCGCTCAGAAAGCATGGCTAAAGTGGGATTTCTTTCTTCCTCCTCCTCCTATTCTTTTTTTCTCCTCCTCTTTTCTTTTCTCCTCCTCCTTTTCCTCTTCTTTTTCTTTTTTCCTTTCTCCTCCTCTTCCTCTTCTTCTCCCTCCCCTCCCTCCCTCCCTTCCTTCCTTCCTAAATGAATTTGTCCAATTACCTTCTTTGTGAATATCCATAGCTGTCCTCTGCAGACAACGTCATTTGTATAGGGTTTCCTGCCTGAGCAGGGGGTTGGACTAGATGACCTCCAAGTCCCTTCCAACATCATCATCATCATCATCATCACCACCATCTTTTATTCATTAGACATGAACCACAGTCAACTGAACATTCAAATTGGCTGGCACTGATGGTTGACACGGGTTGCTACCAGCATCCTAGGTGTCAACCAGGTACCTCCATAAAATATAAGATGTTCCGAGTAAGCGCAGTTGTTGTTGTTACTACTACTACTACTACTACTACTACTACTACTACTACTACTACTACAGCATTGCTGAAGCTTGGCAACTTTAAGATGTGTAAACGTCAACTCCCAGAATTCCCCAGCCAGGAATTCTGGAGAGTTGAAGTCCACCCATCTTAAAAGTTCCCTCACATGTCGGCTGGGGAATTCTGGGAGTTGAAGTCCACACCCCTTGAAGGCGGAGCAGTTCTAGCAGAAGACAGGGCAGAGAAATGGGCGAACAGAAAGAGCAAAAGGACAGGGATGGAATCGTTTCATTCTTCAACCATTACCGCATACATTTTCAGCTCTATCACCTCACGTCAGAAAGAAGATCCCATTTATTGCAAAAAACGCTAACGCGTGTGTTAATGAGTTTAACACAATCCCTGGAGGTTTGTGCTGCAATTAGCACACTGGATCGTGGTTTCTTTTCTTTTTTTTGCCTACATCGGTCCGTTTCCGTCATTACATCCTTTGCAAGTCTGGAAAGTCTTGTCTATTTACGTCAAAGTGAGAGAACACCCAATACTTAATGAGGAAAAGTCCCATCCTAAAAAACCCAAAAAACCAAAATTGCTGCTCTTAATACTCATTCCCCCTTCTTCTCTCCCTTCTTGACTTTAGAAAGAGTGCAGAGAAGAGCAACAAAGAGGATTAGGGGACTGGAGACTAAAACATATAAGGAACAGTTGCTGGAATTGGGTAGAGAAAAGAAGCAGTGCTCCAGTATCTCAGGGGCTGTCCCAAAGAAGAGGTAGTCAAGCTATTCTCCAAAGCACCTGAAGGCAGGACAAGAAGCAACGGATGGAAACTCATCAAGGAGAGAAGCAACCTAGAACTAAGGGGAAACTTCCTGACAGTCAGAACAATTAACCAGTGGAACAACCTGCCTCCAGAAGCGGTGAATGCTCCGACACTGGAAGTTTTTAAGAAGAGACTGGACAGCCATTTGTCTGAAATGGTATAGGTTCTCCTGCCTGAGAAGGGGGTTGGACTAGAAAACCTCCAAGGTCCCTTCCAACAACTATTTCTCAAGGTTTTATTATTATTATATTATTAAACCCTGCAATTAGATATGAATTTAGTGACCGATTTACTGGACTCTTGGCATTCTCATAGCTTTCGGGCTCGTTCTGCTTCACACACACCCACGTTGCGGAGACAAACTTACAATCTGGGAAACAATATTATTAATGCTCTGTAGCTTTAGCCAATGCTTTCTTCATGTTCATCCAAATCCCCTGGAAAGATGTCACCCATCGGTCCAAGGTCTGGGAAGTAGGTGGCTTTGTAATATATTATTAATATAATAATTATTGTTGTCATTTTTGTTGTTATGATAATAATAATAATAATAATAATAATAATAATAATAATAATAATAATAGTAAAGTTGGAAGGGACCTTGAAGGTCATCTAGTCCAACCCCCTGCTCAGGCAGGAAACCCTATCCCATTTCAGACAAATGGTTGTCCAATCTCTTCTTAAAAACCTCCAGTGTTGGAGCATTCACCGCTTCTGGAGGCAGGTTGTTCCACTGGTTAATTGTTCTCACTGTCAGGAAGTGATGATGATGATGATGATCCAAAGAACTGCAGAAAAATCAGCCTTACTGGCTTTTCAAGACCCCTAGTCGTCCTTCAATCACTTCCATCCTTTCTGGTTTTAATACTTGCATTGACAAACTTGGCAGGCAGGCAGGCAGGCGGGAGCGAGAGGGGATCTCCAGGAACAGAAAGACGCCATTGATTCGGACGCCATACAGTTTTGCTCAGATTTCCCCCCCCCCCAATCTGTTCCCTGCACGTATCTGACTGAAACTGTCTCTCACCGCTTTTAATTAGAAGAGCTCCTGCAGCTGGAACCCCATTCAGGTCAGCGGCTGCTGCACCCACCAGGCTGGGCTGCGGTTCTCTTTTCATTTTTAAATACAGGCAGTCAGCTCATTTTGTGACCGTTCAAAGATACAACGGCACTGAAAAAAGGGACTTACTAATATATTACTTAATAATAATAATAATAATAAATAATAATAATAATAATAATGGTGCATTGGAAGATCTGCAAGAAATATCATTTACCTGTAAGCAAGAACTGGTGGGATCATAAAATAGAGAAAGTCATAGAAAATGATAAGGTTAAACTGCTCTGGGACTTCAGAATTCAAACAGACAAGCACCTGCAACATAACACCCCGGACTTAACAATTGTCAATAAGAAAGACAAAAAAGTCTGGATAGTGGACGTGGCAGTGCCTGGAGACGGCAGAATAGATGAGAAAGAACTGGAGAAGATAACAAAATACAAAGACCTACAAATAGAAATAGAGACTGGGGCAAAAGCAAGGGTAGTACCAATAGTAATAGGCGTCTCGGGTACAATCCCAAAACAACTGGAGCACCACTTGAACACCATTGGCATTGACAAATTCGCCATTAGTCAATTGCAAAAGGCAGCCTTACTAGGAACTGCTTGCATCCTGCGACGAGATCTGTAATACCATCAAACATTCACATCTGCCTATCCCAGGTCCTGGATAAGGACTCGATAGGTAGACAAAATGCCAAATCCAGTCTGAACATCTGGCTGACTGTGCGATGATCCATAATAATAATAATAATAATAATAATAATAATAATAATAATAATAATAATAATAATAATAATAATAATAATAATAATAATAATAATAAAAAGTTGGAAGGAATCTTGGAGGTCATCTAGTCCAACCCCCTGATCAGGCAGGAAACCCTATACCATTGTTAAGTCATTTTCTTCAGTGATGTTGTAACTTCAGTCACTAAAGGAGCTGTTGTAAGCCGAGGACTGCCTGTGTGTGGCCATTAAGCGAAATTTGACTTCCCCCGTTGATTTTGTTTGTAGGAAATAGGCCAGGAAGCTCACAAATGGTGACCACGGGAGGCTGCAATTGGTTGTAAGTGCGAAATGCTGCCCCTTTTTCCAGCACCATCATTAATTCTGGACCATTGGCTACACCAGGGGTAGGCAACCTTGGCTGGCTCAGGAATTCTGGGAGTTGAAGACCACGAGTCACAAAAGAGCCAAGGTTGACTACCCCTGGGCTACACAGTCATGAGGATGCCTGTAAGCCAACAGTATGATTTGGATATCATACTGTTAGCCATTTTCTAGATGCATAAACAGTAAGGTGAGAAATTAAGTTGTGCGCTTTAGCCCCGGGAAAGAATATGAGGGTGTTAAGAACGAACAATTCTCACACGAAGCTGGAAAAAAGAGAGACCGGGGGAGGGAAAAAAAACCCAAAA